CCGGCCTCCAAGTTTGGCAACTCCAATGGTACCCTGGTTCCGGAGGGGGAGGCTAGTGAAGGGACGCAGGGAACGGGCAGCTGGGAGAAGTCGGCTATCTCGGCGAGGTTCTTTCTGAAATGTCAGTTGCGTACCTGTGGCCGCTTTGCTCGCACTATCTACCAGGAGATTTTCCCTGGCAGGCCTACTCCAACCAGGATGGCTACCTCGTACCGTCGAATCCCCCTCGTCTCCCCCTGCTTCCTCTGACCCCACGGAGTCTTGGACTACTGATAAGTCTTTGGACGGGGGCTTGGCCCACTCATCCACGCAGTCGGTGCTGCCTGTTCCAGCCACCGTCAACGAGGTCCGGCTTCCGGGCATCTGGGGAGACAGACAGGAGGCATCTACAACGGGGATTCCTGACAGTGGTGCAATTCCCAGTCAGGCTTCCTTACCTGGGGTACAGGCCACCTTCTCGTCTCCGGTGCAGAGCGCCATTCGTCATGCTGCGGCCAACCTCAGTGCGGCAATCAGTTTTGCCCAGGATATGGAACAGTCAATGCCTCTACAGACCCAAAGCACCCTGGCCGAATCCCTTCGGGTCACTTCGGATATCTTGAGGGAGGTCTCCGAGGAGCTCATTGCGGTCGCTAAGCGGCACCGGGCTCGGCGACTGCGGCTGATGACCAAACCGTGACGCAGGATGGGTAAGGCTGTTTGCTAGCCAGGGTTTGTCTTTCCGAGGTTTGTTAGCTTTTACGTCGGCTCGCGGAGCTGACTCAACTGCACAAACCAGCCCAGCAACGCAATCTGCGGGCATAAAACAGATCCGTACATGCATTCTGGTGACGAGCCCCAACACACGCCTCTGCCACGCGCTGCGCAGCCTTTTCTCTCGGCGTCCCAGAGCCAGCCTGGCTGAATTACACCACATGTGGCGACTTCGGCCGCGCTCTTCAAGCAGCGAGGTCATCGATCTGGACCATCCTACCCCAACGGCGGCTTGGCCTACAGCGCCCACAGCGGAGACTTGGTCTAGCAAGCGAAGACGCCAAGAAGAGCCAGGTCCCAGCTCGGCTCTCAGGCATCGGCCTCTCTCCGAGCTGGACAAACAACGACAGGCACGGCGCTGCAGCTTTATGCCAATCCGAAGGAGGC